CTGAGTGCTGTTTGTATTACCTGGGAGAACTACTAAAACTGACCATGAATACATTTATGAAAAATTAAACTTGCCTCACAATCTCATACAAGCTTTAAAACCCATAAGGTAAATGCGGAATATAATAGACATATGTAACATTTTACCCAAAGCATAACTTCAAGATCTCAAAGTTTACGTGTACCTATAAAATAGGTAAAACTTTCAGTCTTTAAATTGTTACACAAATATTCCCAGAGAAATGCCTTTGGAAAACTTAATTTTTAAGTTCTATGGTCTTCAGATTCGATTTACAAAAAAAAAAAAAGAAAAAAAAACCCCAACAAACCAAAACCCACCCAAAGAACGAACTTGTGAAATAATGCAAGTCGACAGACTGTAGAGAAGTCTTAGATGCCTTTTTAAAAATAAGTACTCAAGCAACAGCACTTGGAAACAAAATAGTTGCTGTAGTTTTGAAAACAGACTCCTGATAAAAGGACAAAACAAAGCCTTGCGTCTGGATTTCTAGTGAAGACACTGGAGTGTGCCTTATTTGCAAGGTCTTCTTTAGTCTCAGCTTTCATTTATGTGTGGAGTTACATGAGGCAGGTATCTGTCCATATATGCGATCTTCCTGATTTAATTCTGCCCTTTGCCCAAATAAATCAGTTTGCTTCTATGTTCTGAGCAAATGCTTATAGTTCTACAGTTGTATAGCATGCTTCATTTTGCAGAAGTTGTATTATAATTCCCTTACCATGTGATGCTTGGATGTCTGTAGTAAACTGCTTGTGGCGAGAGGAACAAGGGTTTGGTGCTGAGCATTCGCTCCTCTGCCTTTGTCTCTCCTGGGTTTAGGTGTCATTCCCCCATGATCCTTGAGGACAGGAGAGCTCTTTATTCCAAGGAGGCTTTAAAGCTAAACAAAAAAAAAAAGGAAGGAAGGAGTGATCACGTAGTTCTTGTGCTGAGGGAAGATAGCCGAGAGAAGCAATCGTATGTCGTGTTACTTGCTGTTGTTGCAGTGGAGATAGCAGCTGGGGTGGGCTTGCCTGATGAATCTGGACTAGAGGAACCGTTCCTCAGTGCGTGACAATTTGGATGGGAATTTGGCCCAAGAGTAGCAATGTTTTCTTGGATTATGACCTTTCTGTTGTCCCAGCCTGTTGCTGCATGTTACATGATAAGCAAGTGTGGTCTCCTTTTGCTGTAGCAGATTTAAGTTTGTGTTGGTTTTCTTTTAATATAAGAACAATGGGAAAATCTCCTGTAGGTTGTCAGAGTGTTGCTGATAAATCTGTTGAATGTATGAGTTTCTGTATTTAGCTCTTGTCCAAAATAATGATATTTTTGACCTTTCTTTTAAGACGTGTCTGTAAGATGTTACGATTTTGCTTTCAGCAGACATTTGGGAGGGGGAAATAAAGTGAATTAAGTTTCCTTAGTGATTTTTTTCTTATGTCATTTCATTGATTTTTCTTTTTTTATTATTATTATTTTTCCCCCTCTTCATCATAAGTCTTTGTTCACAAAACATTTTGTCTTTGGAAGTTTACATTAGTTTTGAAATGAGGTGGAGCGTTAGTATAATGAGACTGTATCATAATGAAAGTAGGTTTAATTAACCAGTTATTTAAAATAGTAATGACTTCTGGAGTCATGTTTATACTGCAGCTGCAATTGATTTTAATCTGAGAGCTGCCCTTAGGAGGATCTTTCTGATTAATGTAGACTATTTCTGATTAATAGTTAAGGTCTTCTGTGATATGGAAAGGGAAAAACTGGTTTTCTTCCTTCTGTATGTATATTAAAGCAGCAAAAGAAAACCTGTACGATTCTAACCCATCTGAAAAAACTTGTTTCTAAAGAGCCAGAGAGATTGAACCGGCTGATTTCCCACTCTAGGTGAGTGCACTTACAGTGAATGTCAGCATCTTGAAACGAGTGTGAGAAACATCTCATAACACTGTTCGCTTGATGAGGTTAGTTTTAATTATTTATGACAGGCGCTCTTGAAAATACTCTCAAGATTTATGTAGTCTTGCATCAGAGTACAGTATTATCTTTGAAAAAAGGGGGTAAACAGTTTCATAAATCGTGGCTATATTGGTAATTTTAGACTGAGTAGACAACCTTGATGATGAAATAGCTCAAAGTCTACAATCTAAGGTGTGTAATAGAGGCTACACATAATACAGCTAAAAAACCACCTGTGTGTAGCATAATGTTAGAAGAGAAAAGGCAATTTTTTTGGATATTGATTTTATTTTCCATTTCAGTCTCTCATCAGCTTCTGAAAATTGGTGATAATAAAGCATAACAACCATGTTGTAAAAGGGGCTTCTGATAAACTACAGTAGCTTGTTGTTGGCCACTGTCTACTTGAGCAATAGCTGAATGGCTTATTGATCATATTTCTTCCCCATATGGTTGCACATTTTTTTGGAGGTGAGCTAACTTTGGCTAGATACTTGTTTTGTGGGACTTGGTCATTTAGATAGCTCTCAGGTGTCTTAAGGGCTTAAGTGTAATATCAGTGCAGGGGAAGATGGGGGATTTAGATCCCTATGATTATGCTGGTATAACTCAGCCTAGTGAGTTCTCTTATTACATATAAAAAGCCTTTTTCAAATTACTCCTTATGAAACTATTGGAGATTACATTAAAAAAAAAAAAAAACAACCAAACAAACCCAAACCCTCCTAAACCAAGAATGCTGTTCTAGAAGAAAAATGGGTTGTTTTGCAGTTATGCTTGTATACTGAAATGGGTTTAATTATACTGACTCGAGCTGTTCTGTGTAAACAAATGATTTGTGACTTCATCACCTTGATCCTGAAAGAAATAACAAAAAGCAATTGCCATGGATGGAAAGGTCCGTTCTGTGCTTCTTCATTTTGACTTCTGCTCAGTCTGATGATTTTTATCATGTATACAACTCGCTTTCACCATTGTCTAAAGCTTATTTAAATGAGGTATGGGTAGTTGGTAGGGCAAGAAAAATGGTCTTGCTTACTGGTTTCAGTGACACTGTCAGTGAACCAGTGAGACAACAATATTCTGTAGTTAAAGCTGTAAGTACAATGCAGGAATCAATTCTGCCTGGCGATACACTCACAAATAGCTGCTATGTGGAATTCTCTGTGAGGAAATCATCCTATGTCTTATAGATTGTTTATATTGCAAGGAGTCTTGTGACCATTTATTTTTAACTCAGTTGAGTGCTTATTTACCTTTGTGAAGTGACAGTTTTAATGTCATTCTTTGTTAAACTTTCTTTTGAGGGAAGCAGTAGATGATCTAAGAAAAGCTAACTCGTTACGTTTTTTCCCAAATTACAGTTTCATATTTTTTTCCACATAATTTGGACTTTCACTGACTTGTTCAAAAGTAGTTGAGGAGAAACACTGAAGCGTCTGTGGCGACTAATCAGATATAGTCTGCTGAACATACCGATTTTGTCTGTAGTGAAATTAAATTCACTATTTCTAAGGTGACTTAGAGGAGCAGCAACAAAATTTTGGTTTATAGTTGCTTCTCTGTCTCTAAGCCTAATGTGCTTTTTTTAATATCTTGGTTATTGAATCTGGGGAGGCTTACTTCTCTTGCCTGGATGGTGCATATTTTAATTTGAAGGTTTAAACCTTCTCAAATATAATTTCTTAACCAGACTGTACCAGTTGTATTTTTTTTTCTAGAAGAGAAGGTCATACCATTATACAGAAGTTGATTTTATAACTTAAATCTTAATTTCAGAGGGCAAGCCATTTAAGGAACAATTTTTTATCTTCTGGGTACCTTGAAGTTTAAAAAGGGCTCACTTTGGAGCCATGAGAGGAAAATACCGAAAGAGCAAGAAATCTAGGAATCTGTATTGTATTCTAAATGCAGAACTAATTGTTAGTGCATCTGAATTATAGAGAACCATCTTGCTGAGTTCGGAAGGGCACTTTGGCAGGCTGACTGGCAGGGTTGGGTTTGAGCCTTGTATTGAATGACTTGCCACAGTTTGGCATATCGAAATACATTTTACTGGAATTTAATTACTTTGTATCCATGTGTCCCAACAGTAAGAGGTATATGAACTATAAGCATACTAATACACTTCTGCACAACTGTATTGACTGCTAATTTTCTTTTTGTGTGGCATAAAATGATCCTCCGCATGGGCAGGAGAAAATAAGAATGTGCCATTGTCTGCTGCCTTGATGTGTGAAGACCTGCAAGACAAGCCTAAAGGTTTTTCTAGCTTAAATTTTAAGACCTGTCTTTGACTGGAAAAGCAATTAAATGGTCTGTGAGCTAAGTGTGAAAATTGAGTAATGGAGGAGAGAAGGGTTTGTAGTCAGTTTTTTAATATTCTACTATTGTTAAAATCTGTTTAACATCATTGACTAGCATTTTTAAGAGGGTGCTTCTGATGAAAGATTCAGCATGAGTATTTGTAAGACTGAGACCTAACAATGTTCTTTGGAGGTGCTAGAATATCATCAAATAAAACCAGAGGAAACTAGAGTTGGCAGTCTTTAATTCTGTGTTTTGGTTTGTTTTTTTTAATATGAAAGCTCTTTTGGGGTGGTTGGGGAAGGTTACAGTATAAAGAGAAAAAAATCCCTAGACAGCCCATTTTAAAAGGTCTTGGAGGTCACCTCTAATGATGAGGCAATGATGTAATTAGTTTGCTTTACATTATTCAAGTCATCTTTCCTCCACACTAAAGCTTTTAGTCTGTGTGGAGAAATCACCAGTATGAATTGGGCAGTAAGCTTACATTCAGCTGTGAACTCTCGTTTCATAAAAGGTGAAGCAGGATTCCCTACCTGGGGTAATTCTGAAGCTATTTGGCCTTTTCAGAGTTGAGGAAGCTATCTGTGTCTATCGTGGCTTTTTTGGTCAAGCTTTTTATTGCTTTTCTACCGAGGTAACCCAACTGGAGTTTTGGAATAGGGTAAGAATCTGTCCCAGGGTAATCACAGCGGATTTAGTTTATGTTCCTGACTGGCTTGTTTCTCTTTCAGATCCCTTGCAGTGGGCAGCAAATCGGGCTACAAATTCTTCTCTCTTTCTTCTGTGGACAAATTAGAACAGATCTATGAATGCAGTGAGTATCTTTTCTTTTTTCTTTTTTTATCCCTTCAAGTTGGCTTAATTTGGGAAGAGTAAGACCTGTTTCATTTTTTCACAGGTTGTTTGCAATTGACATAAGAGGAACCTTAAGTGTATGATGAAGTATCACACAAATACAAAACAATTGATTGCTGGCAGGGTAAAAACTATATATCAGTGTTCTGTATTTAAATTTAGCTGGTATGTTGTGAAATTTGGTAATAGCTATGAGGAGAACGCTTTGCTTTTCTAATTTTATGTCCAATAGCCAGGTTATGTAGCAGCTGGGCATAAAAAAAGAGAAGTTACTGGTGTGAGAGAGTGTCTTTTGGGTCTTTATACTGGCTATTGGGGAAGGCAACCACTAATATACCCTTATAATAAGAAAACAAAGCCTTGATTATATTTTTCTTTAATCCTAATATTTGCTGTTAGAAAAATATTTTTTTTAGCATGATAGCTGCAGGTTTACTCATCCAAAAGGGTGAATAATCCAAATTCCTGTAACTTCTCAATACGGATCACAGTTGAGTAGGATATGAGGTGAAATGGAGGGAGGCTTGGGGGAGAAGTGGTATCCCCTGTTTTGCCAGCAGTTCACAGACTTCCCTTTTTTGAGGTGCTAATAAGTAAACTATGAATGCTATGCATGAGTATGCTTGCTTTCTTGTAAACTCCATGTGAACAGACGGTACTGATAGCTATGATGTCAGCATGTATAGTAGGATCCCGGTGTACCATGCTACACAACAGAGTTGTCTTCAGACTCCATTCCCTAAGTGACCTGACCCTGTGGCATCTTAAGTTTGAAAATGGTGTGTGATTCAGATCTGTGGTGACAGCCGGATTCTGTATACAGTCTATGGAGAGAAGTAATTGTGAGGTTCAAATTAGGCACCTGTGGTCAGGTTAAATTGTGTTGCAGCTACATCTGCCTGTTTGAGTCATGGTCTGGTTGTACTGGTTAATCGGTGGCTTGAATTGCATTTTATGCCGTTGAGTTTAGGTACCTGACCTCTGTAGTATGTTAGGCACTTACAGTATCTGGCCTGATATCACCCCAGGAGACTCGGTGAAGATGACTCCTGTTACACGAGACAGTGAATAAACATACTGAGAGAGACTGAATTGAACTTTGCAGCACTGCTTCTAGGTAGTCCTTGAAGGAAGAAGTACAGATTGGATAAAGTGCCTTGCTCAAAATCTTGCAATAAACTGATAAAGCAGCTGGGATTAGAAGTTAGACCTGCTGATTCCAGTCTTGTCTTCAAACTGTTCTGGGACGCCTGTATTGGCTTAACCTCTTTGATATTATAAGTTTTGTTCCATGAGTGTTAAGTCCATAAATACAGAGCACAGAATGTGAGGTAACATTTAGTAGAAAATTTGATGGTTTGACCTGTGTAAGCCAGCCTATCTTGACCTCTGCTCATAGGGCGTATAATGTCTGCAGCAGACCTAAATATTCAAGATCTTTATTTTTTGTACACAGTTAAATAATTTTCAGTCCAAACATGCCTGTTTAAAACTTGATATGGGGGGTGGAGGGCTTCCTATTTATTGGCTACTTCCTTTCCACGAGGAAAAGTGCCTCCTGCCTCCCAATTCAGTTTCAGTGGGTCTAAAGACTTTGTGTTGTTTTGAGTGAGCACTTTTAAGGACCCTTCCCTCTCTTCTGTAAGATTGATCTGCCAGTTCTTGTGTAGGTGTCTGAAGTAAACCACAGAATATGCCCTAGCTGTCCTGTGTTTGAGAGAACAACTGAAAAGAATGGGAAGTTTCTTTGCTTGCTCCCATCACTGACTTCTACTGTGACTCTACAAATCGCCTAACTCCCTGCTCAGTTGATTCCCCTGTAAAAATAAGTATTATATTGGAGGGTGCTTTAAAGCTTGATGAATGCTTAGAACATGCTTCATGTTCTTGGATTAAAAATGGAATAAAAGCATGGCTGATCAAAATCTAGCTGGTTCTAACCAGTTCTTGTCTGTGATGCTACATGCTTGTGTTTATGAAACAGTAATCTTGTTATGTATTTGCTTGTTCTCCCCTCACTGCTGATACTTAAATCATTTTGCAGTTGTTCTTGTTCTTACTGTATTTTGAATATGAGTTTCTGGTAATGCTCACTTGTGTAGTGTAAAAGAGGAAATACAAATAGACAAAAAACTGATTAACAGCATTGCTATAGAACTTAACTAGTGCTTCTAAATGTAAAATTAATTCAGGTCGGTTGGATGTAGGATGTGCAGTATAGCCTGGTACTCCACTTGAATGGTTGCTTGTTAGGAAGCATACATGACTTGGCAGCTGTGAAGAGATTTTATCACTTCTTCCTGTTAGGGGAAGACAAAGGAACAGAGGTGCATCCTGTTATTTTTTTCAAGTGAATTTAATTAAAAGGCTGTCACAAAGCCTTTCTCTAAAGGTAACAGTCTGTATTATAGTAAGTCTTTTTACGGTGAGACTGAAGGATTGTCTATACCTTTTAAGCGTTTTCCTTGTTAAAAGTTTTTTTCTTCTGTCTGTGACTGCTTAGTTCTTGATAGTGCTCTTCCCTGCATGCCTTCCCTGCTGCCTACGCTTCCCATCAGTGCAGCACAGGACAGCTCTCTTTCCGTGTGAATCTCTGCTGGTGTTCCTCCTCTGAAATACCAGTTCTTCTGCCTGCCTGGGAGAGTTACAAATCCCAGAAGCTGTGTCTTAACATAATTGCCCCTGCATGGGGAAAGAAGCCGTGCTTGCCTGGGAGCAGTCAGACTGTGTTTTCTGGGTCTCTGTGTGCTGGTCTTCTGACTCTTGCAAAAGGATGTCATTATTATGAAGGACTCCGGGATGGAAGGCTGATAACCTGTACTGTAAAATATGTGAGAATCTTTTATGTTCCTCATGTGGTTCAAGGAACATGGACCTTTGCATTTGAAAGTCTATGCATAATTTCTTGAAGCAGATTTTTGTATTTTTTTTCATGTGTTGGGTGTGGCATCAGGAAAATGGAGAACAATTCCTTGAAGACAAAGTCATTGCTAAAATGCATTATCCTTGTTGCAGAAGTGAGGAAATTGAATTTTCAAAACCTCTGTGAGCTGTCTTGTCTTCTCTGGAAAAGTACCATATTAAATATGAGATTTAGATAGAAGTCGATTATGTTGCAGAGAGTGCTGAAAGTGCTTAGTATAAACCTGCTCCTTTTCCATAAGGAGGCTATTTCTCTCAAAAGAATGTAGAGCATTAAATATTTTCTGTTCTTTTTCTTTAAACAACTGCCCAGAAAAAGCACTTTCAAAGCAGACATGTCACACAGTGATGACATTGTCATATGCTGAGAATGTTGGACAGAACTTTTTTCAGGGAATTTCTGTCATTGGTGATGAGAACACTGCCAATTATTTAATGTGTCTCTAGGCCAAAACAGAAGCCTTCAGAAACAAGCTTTTTTTACTAATACTTTTATGGTTTGGAATGTGTTAAGCGTTGAGCTAATCCAGATACTGACTTCTGAAAAGTTTGGTTGTTTCAGTGGATCAAGGCCAAAGGCTTGAGCTGCTTGTCTTGATTCAGTTCTGTAACGGAAGGGCAGATACAGCCAGTAGCTGTGGGAGAGCTGCAGAGAGCTGTAAAACTCTTTCCAGCTTTCTCCTGCTGTGAAAACTACGTCCGCTATGTCTGTGGGGACATTTTGGAGGGGAGCTTTGGGGGATTGGAGGAGGAAGCATACATGCCAGTGTAACTGGTGGTGGGACTTGGACTCCTACCAGCTTGGTCCAATACTGTACTATAATCAAATGCTCTGAAAATGCTTCTTTGCCAGAGATCCTGGACTCTTCTCCTTCCTGCTGTCTTCCCCACACTTTGAATGGTGACTTCTGTTCCTCCTTTGCCTCCCGTGCTTCCATAGTAGCACGTGTGTCAAAAGTAATATTTTTATGGCTATGCATACATTCTGATTCCTGCACAAATTGTTTTTAGGGACTGTCAGGTAAAAGATGGTATGTGTGAACTTAAATAAAAAAAAAAAAAAAAAAAAAAAAAAAACCACCCACTAATCAGTGACTGAAGCAGTCTTACAACAAATGAGTTTACTAGCTTCTTTGAGTACAGTAACCTTTCTTTCTTCATGGAGAGGTGTGCAGAAACTCCAGGGGTTTTGGTCACCAAAAACCCTTCCATGCATAGTATAGCTTTAAAAACAAAACAAAAAAAAAAACACATACAGAAACCCCAAAACACCTTTGCTTTCCTAGATTTCTGCAGAGATAAGAGAAGACTGTAAGAATCTGGAATTTGGCAGTTTGCTATTTTTTTTTTATATCTCTGGGATTTTTTTCTGTTGGATCTTGGGCAGGGGGAGGTAGACGCTCTGTTCTAAAGCATAAACTTGCATGACACCTCGGGGTGGGGAGGAATGTTTGTAAATCAGCATTTACTGTGTACATTTTCTGCTTTATAAACCTGTCCTGCATCCCACCTTGACTCTGAGCTGTTGTGGCAGAATGTTTGTGGTGGTAGACTGTATTTCCTTAGACAGTATTTCCTCTTGATGTGCATCATTCTTCCCTGAAATCTCCCTCTGTATTTTTCCCTCGTTATTGTGATTTCTCAGCTGACACAGAAGATGTGTGCATTGTGGAGAGGCTGTTCTCCAGTAGTCTGGTGGCCATAGTTAGCCTTAAAGCTCCACGCAAGCTGAAAGTTTGTCATTTTAAGAAGGGGACAGAGATTTGCAACTACAGTTACTCCAACACCATCTTGGCTGTCAAACTCAATAGACAGGTGAGTAGTAATTTTGACTAGGTGGAAACACGGGAAGGGGTTGTGGATCTTATTCTGGCACTTCCTCTGCTGATTGATGTCTCTTCCTTTGGTGACATAATTGCTATTTAAAATGAACTTGTACTTTTTCCAACTGTAGCTTCTGTATGGCATCTCAGTACTCATACTTGGTTAAGTATTTTTGGTTTATGTATTTACTTAGGAAAATGCCCTGAGTAAGCTGGGCATGCTTTGAGTAAGAGGTTGGACTAGAGACCTCCTGAGGTCCCTCCTGTGATCATAAATGTGAAAGTATATAAAACTGACAATTTCTGTTCAGGCCTAAACTTAAAGTTGTCTTTGGTGACATAATTGCTATTTAAAATGAACTTGTACTTTTTCCAACTGTAGCTTCTGTATGGCATCTCAGTACTCATACTTGGTTAAGTATTTTTGGTTTATGTATTTACTTAGGAAAATGCCCTGAGTAAGCTGGGCATGCTTTGAGTAAGAGGTTGGACTAGAGACCTCCTGAGGTCCCTCCTGTGATCATAAATGTGAAAGTAAGTTTAGGCCTGAACAGAAATTGTCAGTTTTATATAAAGTTGTTATCTATTCACTTCTCATGTTTTTAAATACAGTTTGCTGAATTCTTTTAAAAAAATAAAAATTAAAAAAAAAAATCACTAAACTGGTCAGGTTTTTGAGTTAAGAACCTGAAACCATAGTTTGCTGTATTACTAAATCATTAGTAGGCTCTTCTGCAAATACAGGTTTCTCTGTCTTCAACCAGCTCATTCAAAGTAGAGAGAATGGCATCTGAAGGAGAAAATCTTAGAGTCCATCCCCACCCCCAAAAATCAGGTGTGGGAGGATGGGATTACTGTTTAAAATCGTAAGAGAAAGAGTGGCTAATTTGTTTTCTGGCATAGTGAGATAGCATTAAATGAGTGACATCTTGTTAGTCATCCAGATGTCATCTACAAACGTGTAAATGAGATGTTGAAGAACTTAATCAAAGTTTAAAAAAAAAAAAAAAGCCCCTCACAAATGATTATAAGTAATAGGCTCTGTAAATGGTTAAGAAAAGTCTTGTATGTTTTTTTCTGTTTGGCCAAAGCAGGAAGTTATTTCCACATGTGAATTGGCCTCTTGGGAGGGGGCGGGCAGGGGGCAGGGAAATACATAAGGGCAGGTACAGAATAAGAATTAAATACATAAGGGCAGGTACAGAATGAGAATTAAATAGCTTTAAATTAAGGTTTCTGGCTTGCTGACTTAAACTAGTAATGTAAATCATTTTCATTTAAATCAATTTGCACTAGCATGGTTGAGAGAAGTCAAGCGCACTGGTCAGTTCAAGTGACCGAGTGTAGTATTGCGCTGTTGAAGCCTTGTCAAGAGGTGTATCTTGTGTATCTTCTATCAGACTCTTATTTCTTCCCATCAGGTGGGTACAACTTTTTCTCTATTGGAAGGCTCCTACTGCATTTTTGGATACAATTTTATTAGGATTGATAAATTAATATAAACTCCAGTTTGATATCAGCATTTTGTCCTCTTTCCCATGTCTAGAGGCTGATAGTATGTCTGGAAGAGTCTCTTTATATTCACAACATACGAGACATGAAGGTATTACATACAATCAGGGAGACACCTCCCAATCCTGCAGGTAAGTATGTTGTTAGAAGCTAGCATAGCTCTGAAAAGTGCATTCTGTGTCAACGAATGACACAAATGCTGTTTCCTGCAGGGACCTGTAGCGTTGTTAACTCCACTTTCAAATAAAATTAACCATTAAATGCATGAGTGTCATCTTAAGGTCTGTTTCATCCAGATAAGGTTTTTGAGAATAAATAGCACACTCTGCCTTAAACTGCAGCTTCCCAGTATTTTAGTCTTCTAGATTGGATGTGTTGAAAAGTTAGAAAGAAGTGGTAGGGATACAAACTGGACTTTGCCAGCACTTGGTGTAGTTAAAGGCTTTGTCAAGTTAATGGTTTAGGAGTCATGGCAGACATGGGAAATTCTACTGCTTAATCAGTTATTGTAGCTCTATTGGTATTCTTCCTTTTCAGCTTTATATTAAACTTTTAACATAAGTTAAATAGTTGAATATGTTGCAGGTTGGCTCAGATTTCTCATCCTTGTTCTGTTTCTGTGATACCTTGTGAGGATAACTTGAGTTATCTTTGTAATATCCAAATGCAGAATCAGAAAGTTTTGCTGCACAAGTATTGGAATTTGCCTCTTCCTAATTCTGTTTCTGCATCCCTTCTAGGGTTGTGTGCTTTATCAATAAACAATGATAACTGCTACCTGGCCTATCCAGGAAGTGCAACTATTGGCGAAGTACAAGTTTTTGACACCATCAATCTGGTAAGGATCTTTGTGACTGCTACTTCCACTTCCAAAGATGCAGTTCTTAGAAATGATTTAACTTGCTCAGAGAGGAATTACTAGATGCTCGGTTACGTTCCTCTACATCAGTTTGCAGAATCTCTTATAGCTGGGCTTCACAGAACATTGGCAAAGAAAGTACAGGCGCTAATATTAGATTTGATGAGTAGAATTGGGAAAATCAGTGGAGCAAAGTAATTTTTATTTGAATTGTCTTTTAAGTATCCTTCTACTGCCTGTACTCTCTATGCACATGCATCGGTGATAAAATTATGTACTTTAACCTAGCAGTTACTGAAATAAATATTGAAGCTGTTGTCCATAAAGTAAGACCTATATTTGTCTTGAATGCTCTTAAATATGCAGTTTTAAGCTGCAAACATGTAGCTTTTAACCTGTATTGTACTAAGGTTGTATTTTATTGATTCACTCCTACAGAGAGCTGCTAATATGATCCCAGCTCATGATAGTCCCTTGGCTGCTTTGGCATTTGATGCAAGTGGTACTAAACTTGCCACTGCATCAGAAAAGGTAAGGTGGCTTTTTATTGACTTGCTGATGGTGATAAAAATGAAATTTGTTTCTAAGCATTTTAAGTAAGTTTAAGCATGCACAATTCCATGTGCAATTGCCAGAAAAGAAGGCTTACAGTTATAATGGCAAATCTAAGTTAAGAACTGTTAATGATATTTGGCACAATTTCCATGCTGTGAAATGTTGGATAGTAAGGTTATTTTAAATAAACACATTTTAATCTGGCTGTAATCAGGGCAGTCCTCTAAGCATTTCTCCCTTTAGTGCAGGATACTTATTAGAAATTAGTTGTCTTGGTTTGAGTCTGTCTTGCTAATGAAAACAAGATAGTTAAAGTCAGAATAGAGAGAAGTGTCTTGCCAGTCTTTGGCACATGATGACAAATTGCCCATCTAAATTGTATAAATTAAAGCCTCTGCTCTTTGAGTAATAAGCTTAGAATATAAAGGTGTAACTGATTGCATCTGATAAAGGCACAAAGACATCCAGGTGACTGTGCTTGTGGTACTTGTCTAACATGGTCATTTTCATGATCAAATATAAGAAGGGCTGTTCTTCATGCATAGCTTGTTCTCTACATTAGTAGCTCCCACCTCTTGTTTCTCTATTCTTCAAACGCATCCTACAAACAAGCTCCATAAATATTTCATGCTAGTATGTGGTGTGCATCAATGGCAATAAGTTAACAGGAAAATGGTGTGCTGCTTGTAGTTGTACTCTGCTCACTAGAGCTCATACACAATGAACAAACTTGAAATGAATTTTTTTTTTTTTCCCATGACAGGGGACAGTAATAAGAGTGTTTTCCATTCCAGAGGGACAGAAACTCTTTGAATTCCGAAGGGGAGTGAAGAGGTAAAGTTCAACTGGGCTAATTATCTGAAGCGTATTCTTTACAGTAGATCTCCAGTATGTTCTGCAATTGAGCTGGCATCCTGATTTTTGCGTATTTTCATCTTCATTCATCCTTGCCTGTATGCTTATAACGGTTTCAGCTTGAATGTCTTCCAATTTCACTCCTTTGGACTTGAGTATTCTACAAATCAAGCCTGTCAGAATTGTGCTCCCTCTTGCCTTTTAAAAATTTATTGGTGAGGGAACTTGTTTAAAGTGGGTCACCTTTTGTAAGATATATTGTATTCTTACGGCAATTGGAGGCAGTACATCTAATATTCTTGCTCTCGTCTAAATGCTTCTGGTGCTGTGATCATTGATAGCCATTGTGAAATGGTACTATGATTTGTGGCAGTAGTAACTCTGTAGTTCTACTGTACTTTACGCAGAGGTAAGACTGAGTTCAGATTGTTGCTAATTGACCCCTATATCTGGTATACATCAGAGCTGAACATCATTAATGGGGATCTTGCTCTTGAAGTGCTTTAAGAAGGTATCAGAGAATTTGGAATGCTTATTATGGAAATACTTTTTTCTTATTTGCAAAGCAGTGGTGATGGAGAAATCTGCTTAATTATTAATTAAGCCAAATACTTTGGCTTAATTGCAAGTCACCTGCGATCACTGGCAGGAGAAGAAGAGCAGGTGAGTCTACCATGCAGCCGCCATTCTTCCCAGCTCTCATAGTACACCTCATGTGAACGTTATGGAGCTCCTTAGTGGTGAATGTGCAGAAAGACTCCTACCTACCAAAATGGAGAAGTAATATTCTCATTTAAGTCAATTCCCATGAGTTAGTTAACATTAGCTTTCTTCTTACACTGATTGGTACAGTAATAGAATGTCAAAAATACTGCTTCATTGTTTTTCCTTTCTTTTTTTTCCCCCCTAGGTGTGTGAGCATCTGTTCATTGGCTTTTAGCATGGATGGCATGTTTCTGTCTGCATCCAGTAACACAGAGACGGTGCATATCTTCAAACTTGAGACTGTGAAAGAAAAGTAGGTTTCAGAGGTGCCTTAGATTTTTTTCAAGGAAAAGTCTTTAAAATTGGTTATACTCAACAGGATGAGTTCTCCAAAGTGTGGACAGGCTTCTTTTGAACACTTCTGTAAAGTAAAGGGCATAAGAAGTCACTTATGAATCAGCAACCGTAGCTGAGCTGTGTACCGTTCTCCCAGTGAATAGAAAAGGTATTTCTACCGAAGATAAATTGGCCATCCTTGGCAGAGGAATGTGGAGCAGTTCTAATATTTTTCAGTTACATTTGTATTTCATGTCTTCTGACACCTATACGGGAAGAGCTATCTTGGCAATGCCTTCCAGCAGCCTATAGGGCTTTAAAAGGCACCAAGTTGTAAAATGTTCCTATTTACGATTTGAGAGCACAGTCTTTCTTACGTTTCTGTGGAAGTTGTTGGAAACAATGATTTGCTTAGTGATAAACAGATGAATAAAATCTTGAAGTGTAGCACTTTCCAGTAGATCTTGCTCTTGTGTAATGAACCTTATGAAATGCAGTTTTATAAGCAGAAGTATCAGTTTACAATCAAACATGCTTAAATAACAGGCTGAGGGTATTGTAGGATACATTGTGCCCTGTAGCATAAATGGAGTGCATTAGAGTTCTCAAGGGTGTTAGTTGTTTCTGAAGAGAAACAATAGCTGCTTAATATCTTTAAAAACGAAAGATGTTTCAAAGTGTTTACACACCTTTCTCTCTAATGTGAAGGCAACGCCGGTCACTTTTTTTCTTCTGACTTGTAGACCTCAGGAAGAGCCTACAACCTGGACAGGTTACTTTGGAAAAGTGCTGATGGCCTCAACAAGCTATCTGCCCTCTCAAGTAACAGAAATGTTCAACCAGGGTAGAGCCTTTGCTACAGTCCGCCTGCCGTTCTGTGGGCACAAAAACATCTGTGCACTTGCCACGTGAGTAAAGAAATTGTGCCTGCATTCACCACCCTGCTGGGTTGCAGTGTTGGGCTATGGAGAGGCCGACACTGTAGAACATAACCTCATCTCCCGCAGAGTGGGTAGTACACAGAGCGATGGATCACCTGTAATCACTTCAAAGCCTCTTCCAGTTTGAGGAATGTGTTAGAGCTAACACCTCACAGTCCTGTGAGGGGAGGAGGGAAAGGCATAACATTTGGATGACTATAGACTATTTCTACATGTTGTTTAAAGATGTCTTTTAATTTTGAAAGAAGAATGTTGAGAACAGACCCGTGGGCTTACAGCATTTGCTTCCATTAGTGCTAGGGGGAGTGATACTGTATGTTGTGTTAGTGAATTGCAAAATTAGGCATTCCAGACTAACCATTAAAGAAGTCTTTGAAAGCAAGTTCATATTATTCTTGTCTCTAAAACAGCATAGCATTCATTAAAGTTGATTTTGAGGACTAAATCTAATCTTTATTCTGTCTTCACCAAAGGCAGGTCCCATTTGGCACAGCTACCAAAGCAGTAAGCTGAGTGGTAGTAAACTTATTTTGTGGGGGTTTTATAGTTTTTATGCTAAATTGACTTCATGTCTGTACTCTCATTCCTCTGATGTCAAAGCACCCTTTAAGCAATAATTAAGCCTTGTAACATTTCTGAAATAAGTAAATGCTTCCCGTTAGAATATTTGTCTCTGGAGTTACACAAAGCTTGATAACAGGATGGTAACTTCTGAATCTGTTTTACTGTGTTATACATAAGTTGCTTGATTCCTGTGGCATCCCATTAGCCCCAAAATGTGGTTATGCCTTACTTTTTTTTATGCACAGTTCTTTCCTACATGCTCTAATTTAACAACTTTCCCTGTGTAGAAGCAAGAGTGTGGAAAATAATGGCTTAAAATCATGGGAGGGGAGGAGAGTGTGCTGATGCAAACCTTAAGTTCTTAATCTGCTGCTCTCCCCTAAACCTTTCTAGAATCCAGAAGATCCCTCGTTTATTGGTGGGAGCTGCTGATGGATATCTCTACATGTACAACCTAGACCCCCAAGAAGGAGGAGAGTGCACACTAATGAAGCAGCACAAGTAAGTCCATATTAGCTGAGGACTGTTGTATTTTAGTTTTTCACAAAATCCATTTTGTTCTTAAACTTAGTTCTGTTCTGCAAAAGTTTAATTTAGACAGCTCATTTCTTTAAAATAATCTTTTTCCAGACCTCTGACATCAATGAGTAACTTCAGAATCCCCCTGTGCCTTCCTTCCTAGTATCTACTACACTAAGCACCGCTTTACTAGCAGAAACTTAACACTGTCCGATTGCAGTGAAGGATCAATCGCTGTTAGCTGTATGATCCTGTTTCCTCTTACTTAGCAGTTTGAGTTGAGTTACTTAAACAAGAACTTGAAACGTCTGACACCGTCCTCTTCATCAATAAATTAAGCGGTTACAGAGATGAGAAAGAGATGTTACTCTGACCTCACACAGGGGAATCTGGCCTATGAAACTTTCTGTATTCTCTCTCTACCAATGTCCTTATTAAATTTCCTTGCATATGGTCCAGCCAACTGATGTCCTGCAGCAGTACTGTAGAACACTTAAGGAAAAATATGACAAGGCATTGTTATTTTTTAATAAGGTTTGGCAGGAAAAGCTAGGGTGACATAGTCGGATTACTACAAGATAGTCATACAATTAAAGCAAATAACTCACAATGATAATTCAGGCTTGCAGCTTTGGCCAGTCTATAATACTGGCCAAAAATCATACCTTTATCTGAACATTTTAAGGTATAACCTCTGATTTCACTTGTAGATGAAGTGAAGTCTCAGAGGGAAGCCTTTCTCAAGTTCTTAATCTCTGAAATGCTCTAATACCGTTGCTAGAGGGTTTTCTAGTGTATGTGTATGAAGCAATCGCTTCTGTTGTGGACAGGGGTCAAGAGACAATCTGCGATATTGCTGATAGGAATCATTATGGGTTTTTTTAATTATGCAGTCTTGTTTTGAGTCTTGTTTTTTTCATAGCATCAGCTACTGGGATTTAGATTCTGATGCCATGTCAGGGGCAAGCATGTTGCTGATGTGTCTTCAGTATTAAATATGAAGTGTTGTCAGATGCCATCTTGACAGTCCTCTGGAATGGAGGGACCAAGTTCCTCCTGTTGCATGTGTATATGTATTATTCTTGCACGTCTAATGGGATGTTCTTCCATAGCTGTCCACTAAAGCTGTATTATGCCCAGGCAGATCAGCTCTCCAGCTAATGTCTCTCTGCTTGGTAGGCTCGATGGCAGTATGGAGCCAGCCAACGAAATTCTAGAGTCTGCGTCCCACGACCGGCCATTGGTAGCGCAGACGTACAGTGCTGCTGTGACTAAAGGTACATATGTGCCTTCCTCACCCACAAGGCATGGTAAGGAGAAGGCTGGAAATGGGGCAGAGAGCACCTCTGCGTATTGCTTCATTCTAGATGGCTGCGTGAGCTCGTCTACTTCAACACTGAGCTTTTCATAACTGTGGGTGTGATGTGGAGCATTGGTGAGCGGTAGCAAAAGAGCGCTTGCGATGTACAGTAGCCTCCTGTGGCTGGATCTCTCATCTTTGCTACTTTCTGAGTAGAACTTTGTCTCGAACTGTGGTTGATTACTGTAGCAATAGTTGCAGTACTTGCCAAATGGTTCTTGAGATGCCCCAACACAATTACTTCATACGGGAGTTCTGCATTCAGACCTCGTGCAAAGCATCTGAATTATAGCCCCCCCGCCCTTTTTTTTTTTTTTATAAGGTTGATAAGTGCTCCTATTGTTCCTTTATGGGAACAGTGACCTTTTAGCCTGATTTGCTGCTCTGTTAAATTGAGAGGATGAGAATTTGATTAATGCTGCAGCTCTCCCGAGTGGAACTTCTACCATCTTTGTATGGCACTTGGGTCAGTGCTTCAACTGCAGAGGAAGGACAGTCTGCATGTGTAGCATCAGTACTGCAGTTGCAGCTGTAATGCATGGGTGGACATTAAGAAAAACATCAGCCTGCCCAAAGCACAAGTACGTGTTGCGCACATGCAGAGTAGTTTAATTTTGATCACAAGGTGCTCTTGGCTTGGAGAAACACGGTCATGATAAAAGCAAACATAGGGTGGCAGTGAAACTGTTGCAAGTCATGTCTGGTACTTAGCACTAATCATTCACTTTGGATCCAAGCCTCAGTTTGTGCTGCTGATCCCCCGACTACTTGTTCCTTTCTCTCCAGCCTATACGGATGACCTGGGTGCTGTGGGTGGAGTTTGCCTGGAAGATGAAACCAACTCACTTAGATTGGACGAAGACAGTGAGCATCCTCCCATGATCCTTCGGACGGACTAAACTTTGACCTGTGAACTCACTCCTGAAGCAGAGAACACTGGCTTGATGTTTCTTGAGGAATCTCGTGTTATGCTGCTATGAACTTTGACATGAGTTGGGAGAGAGGATGACAGACTCTTACAGTTTTAAGTAGTAGCTGTAGTTCTAATTCTATACAATTGGAAAAATATATGGTTTTCAATTCAGTGGCTTTTAATCTTGCTTATCTATTTTAGCTGTGTTTATTTTTTTGTTGCCAAAACCTGCTGTTCGTGCAGCCCTCGGAGCCTACTAGCTTTGCATGCGTTCATGTGCCAAGCAAGCATAGGAGGAGGAGAGAGAGAAGCCACTTTATAACAAACCCAAGTTTGTATTTTTTTTATATATGTATATAATATTTAGCTTATAAAAGGAAGGAGTAGAGAAGTGGTTCTGGGAGCTGAGACTAGTTCTGCACTGACAAAGGTCCAAATGGTTTCCTGTGCATGGGCTTGCAGGCATACCTAGTGACTGACATGCAACCTTCCAAATGCAATGGCCTGTTTTTTTGGGTTCTCCCTCCCCTTTCCTGGACCATTTTGTTAATTAAAATTCCTTCTGAATGTTGTGTATTTGTGGGACTGTTCTGTTTGTTGGGATGGAAAACTGGAAGTGTTTCCCTGCATAAGAATATAGAAAGTGCCTTGACAGGAAAGAAAAGGAATTGCTGCAGGAAGAAAGCTAGAATGAAGGAGGAATTGCTAGAGATTCTTCTTTGTACACCTTTAGTACTTGGGTGTCTATAGCCCGTAGGGGCTGATAAGCTTGTGGGTTTGGTTTTGTTTTGGTGGTGGGTTTTTTTTTTTTTTTAGAGAAGACTTGGAATGCACTTTCTTTCTCTCCTGTAGATGTCTTATTTCCTTGGCAGAGTAGCAATAATCTTTTTTTATACTTTTTTTAATTATCCAAAGCGAGGATTCTGTCAGGCTGGATGGAAGTCCCTGTAGAGTATGGCAGCCCCACTCTTTAAACAGCCTTAAGGTTTTCAGCTGGAAGGCATAACTCTCAATTCTTGCTTCTCTTCAGTCTGGGGCTGAGTGTACTGCTCTAATAGTGAAGTCCCCCCCCCCCCCCCGTATACTGATGTAAATATAAATTATTTTGAAAGATTAATTTTCTTCTGGGTTCTGTTCTGCTGGAGAATAGTTGCTTTGCTTTTCTCTCTTAATTTATTTGTTTTATTTTTCCTTTCATCAGAGTACCTCTTGTGATACACTCCAAGGACTGGTTGTCTCTTTAGCAGTTTTGGAATAAATCCTTAACTGCCCTGACCCTGGCTAGGGCTTTCCAAGGCTGAGCAGACTATTTTTAGGGTTGTAATGTGCCTTCTCTTAAGTCTTGGATAACAGTGAGCAAGTGATTAGCAAAGTACTTGGTGAGTATTACTTTCCTTTGCCAAAATGAGCCTGCTTTGACTTTTGTGTAGCAATGCGGGTTGCTTCCATTCACTCTACTGACTGCTCACAAAGGAATAAAAATAAAAACAGATAAGGGAATTGCAGATCTTGAGAGGAGGACAGAAGCTGAGTACTCCAGCTACGTGTGAACTCCCTACCACAACTAGACAGTGATGTGCTTTTAGGATTTGGTACTGTTAACAAGGCTTCTCCCAAGCAATAGCAGGCAGTGGTCTTCGTCCCCAAAGCCCTGTGTGGGCAGGTGGGCTTCCCCTTCATCTAAAAGTGCAAAAGATGGTGGTGGCCCCTGCCAAGAGAGCTGTCTGCATCAGTGAGGCTACTGGTAGTCTGTGTGTGTGGAAGATACTCTTGCACGAGCACATGTGGAAGAGAAGGGGTCAGGCTTGTTTATTCACTGAAAACCCTTGACTGCCCTGCGTAGTTGGATGGAGTGGCTTGTGGTGTCGTCTCCAGAACCCAGCACATTCAAAGCAAACCACTGAGCCGTGCTGAAACCTCACTTAGTCTCTTGACTTTAAGCTCTGGCTGACAACTAAATTCCACAGTCTGGAATCATTTTTTTTTACTGCAAGTGCCATCAGCTTTGCTGTGGGGCTCATAACTGCAGAGTAAAATACAAGTCTTGAAGTAAATATAAGCTCAGTGAGCTTTGCTGGCAAACAACCGCCCAGGAGCTGTCAGATGTCTGCTTGTTCCAGACTAAAGCTGGTAACATTCCTGATAACATACTTGGAGGCTTGGCGTAGACTCCACAAGTAGAGTTAGCAGTAAACACACATAAGCAACAGAGGTCTGCTAAGCACACAAGTTTTACAACTCTTCAGTGTAACAAAGGCTGTGTTACATAGTAAGATACACCCCTTAATGTAATTACTAACTTTTACTGCTGAAAATTGAGAACAATTTATTGTACTAATTTTACCCCCTTCTTAACTTTTACGCCTTACAGGTGAGTTGGAGATCCTATATTCATTGTATTTGTGTCTTCCATATGCTGCAGTATGCTCCTACTCCTGGGCCACAGACTGACTGTTGAATCGCTGTGCCCTTCTTGGTTCACTCTTAAGTAGAAGCTGGAAGCCAGTTAAAGTATCTATCTTTTTGTTGTTTTAACTGGGGAGAAATCTTTTTAGCAAAAGCATTGATATTGTAGGGTTAGTGACCAGCATGGAGCTAGTAGGATGGAGCAGGTGGTTTCTGGTCCCCAAGGACAGTGTATTTAAGAGTTGTGACAGTAGTTTGTCTTAAGTGCATTGCATGAGGAAATAAACTTTTTCCTCAGATAAAATACGACTAGTATCATTTCCCTCTGGCGGCCTTAGGCCCTCAGTAACCACCCTGTTGTGGTATGCTACCAAAGTTAGAAGCCTTTCAGGTTGGGGTTTCATCCCAATGACACAAAGATTTTTTTTTCTTTTTTTTCCTTAAACATACCAGAAATGCTGTTTGCAGCTGCAGCCTCACCTGAGTATGGAGCATATGATTGCACTGTTATGCTCTGTGCATCAGGTGGTGTCTAAACATTTCTTCTCCTAAGTAACTAGTGGTAGGACGAGAGGAAATGGCCTCAAGCTGCGTCAGGGGAGGGTTAGATCAGGTATTAGGAGAAACTTCTTTACTGAAAGAGTGGTCAAGCATTGGAACAGGCTGCCCAGAGAGGTGGTGGAGTCCCCATCCCTGAAGGGGTTCAAAAAACGGGCAGACGTGGCACTCGGGGACATGGTTTAGTGGGCATGGTGGTGTTGGGTTGATGGTTGGACTGATGTTCTTGGAGATCCCTTCCAAACTTCGTGATTCCTAGTTTTACTTTAATTAAAAAATAATCCAGCCACCAAGCCAGGAAATGTGAAATTAGTTATTATTCTACCCTTAATTGATTTAGTGGTGGACTTGATAATGTTAGGTTAATGGTTGGACTGGGTGATCTTAAGGGTCTTTCCAACCTAAACAATTCTGTGATTCTATTCTGATGGTCTAACAGCCCTGGGTTCCTCGGGGTAAGCCAAGGAGGCTCTAGCCCTGTGCTATGGCCGTGGGCTCCTAGTCATAGGATACGGGAACACCTATACAGCCCCTCTCGGTTTAGACTGACCTTCCTTGGAAGGACCGTGTTTGTTCTGTGACAGCGTTTTCTCTCTAGGTACAGACCACTTCTTGGTAGCTTTTTTAACTCCGTAGAGGGTTAGGGGCAGACATAGACAACTGAACCAAAGCTGGGGAAGGGGAAACACACACAAACTTGGAATCTTAAACTCAGGTCTTAGATTGCAGTGGGATCTGTTCCCTGTGAGTGCCGTCGGGATGGAGCTGTTTCTCTTGATGTGCAAATAGTAGTGAGTGTACGTACTCCGCTGGTGTCTCGACATCTGTGTGTTTACCCTAATTTGTATTTCTAGTTCTGAGGCAGAAAGCTTTTATCTGCTCTGGACTCTTCTTATGTCACTGTTTCCAAAATACAAGTGATAGATACAAATCTAGCAGTTAAAAGGCTGGGCCTGGCAGAGGAGGAGGAAGTAAATAGCATAAAGAGGTTAGCAAAAAGTTGGTTTTTCTGAGGCCCTGTTCAGCAAGACATTTGTGCGAGTGCTCCCTCTGCGATCAGATGTGTGCATGCACCTTGCTGCTTCAGGTCCTACACAAGCGAGTTTCTTGGGCCTGTTTTCTACAGAGGGCGGGGGTAGAGGTGTTGACTTTTCAAGTCTGCTTGAATGCAAATAAATATCTGAGAAGGCTCTTAATACAGTGACAGGGGTCTCCACAGAGGAAACGTGTGTCTGACCTAGGTGTAATAGTAAAAAGGGAAGAATGAACCGAAGAGCCACCAGCTTGATGAGTAGGTTAGCTTAGAGCCCCAAGAAGCTGATCGGCCGAGCGCTCTTCGTGTTACATCCCATACTGTGCTTTCTTGGCTGTAATAATGGCACTAGCACCAAAGCAACATGCAGTAAGACAGTAGAATTTCTTTCCTTGTAGGCCGCTGAGCTACTCGGTGTACCGCTTGTATGTGCAGATGCTCTGCTGCCGTTTGCGGAGCGATGGGAGTCTTTGTCCAAAGCATTGGTGGGGATTAATCACTGCAGAGATTTGGAAAGTTTTATTCTATGCTCCAGCTGTCCTGGCTAACAGTCGCCTTGATTTAACCTGTTAACATCTGAGAGCAAGGCAGAGTGTCTTCTCCACGTGTGCAGAGCAGGCTTTTGTTTTTCTGGAATCTGTGCTGCACCGTGAAAGGCTTGCAATGAAGAAAGCATGGCTCTAACTGTAAATAAATCCTCTCAGATTCCAGCTGCACAACCAAAGGAATTCAGCAAATTCCTGTGTTTCTAACCATAACATGCCTTCATTTTAACACACTTCAAATTGGCAAATCTCATCTTGTACTGCCCTGAAAATAACGGACAAGAAGTTTTTATTCGGGCTTGCAAATAGGTACAGTTTTGCTCATTACAGATGTCTCAATGCTGTGGCTTTGACCGTGCAACTGCAGCGATCCGTGCGCTGGCTACCCCTGTGCTGCCTTTGCATGTGTCCGACTCGTTTCTCAGGCGCGGGGAGTTGTTCCCAAACCTGTAGCTCTGGGTTTCTATGGGGCATTGACTCAACCCTTTGTCTACCTGGATCTATTTGCTCTTGCATTTGCTTCCTCACCTGGAAAAAAAAAAACCCTGCATCCTGCAGTGCTCACTTACTCTGTTCAATATCTGTGTCGGTAAGTGGAAAAATCTGTCTTAACATTCCACCTCACCAAGTGTCTGGCTCTCGCTTGCTAGCCCATCGCTCTTTGTAATTTTATAACTGCCTAAGAAATTAAATCTGTGTTGTGATAAGTATTCTGTGTCTTCTTCCTTTTGTTTGCTGCTTGGAGATGGGGCCGGATAAGATCAGGGTGTGTTCTTGTACTCTGTGGCCCAAACCAAAACGCCAGCAGTAATAAGCTCTCAGTCCTAGCTGTGCTTTGTAGCTGCTCTCGAAAAGCGCCGTCAGCTTGGGTTTTGCAGGTACGGGGAGAGGACAAGCTGAGTTTCTCTTGGCACATTTTGCTTGCAAATGCAATTTTCCCCTCTTATTCCTCCTTAAAGCTGCTCTCCTTGGGACTTGCGCTAATGCATTTTTTTCCTGCTTCTCAGGTGAGTTTAGATAATTTCCTTTTATTC